TTACCCTGTACAACAAGTCAAATTATCAAACAAGAACTCATATTTGCAAGTTAAAGCCAATGACCGTACCTACGCCTGCCAATAAAATCAATAAAACGGAGTTGAAAATAAAAGCCATATACAGGGTGCGGCAGAGAGGACGGACGTTTTTTGGATGGGTAGTACTCTCCGCCTCCGTCTACGAGAGAGGTGGGGAGGGTGCCGTTTGACTCGTGAGATCCTAGCATTATTTTACTAGTTGTCGTTATGCATCCTTGGACGGTGGAGCACCGCGTTTTTGCCTATGATTGTTTCGTCCGAAATAATGAGTCAGTCATCGTCGTACAGCGTGAGTTTCGTCGCCAGTTCAACATTCATCGGAATAGAGCTGTTCCCTCTCGAAACACCATCCTTCGTTGGGTTGATTCACTTCGCAGGTGTGGTGAACTGATCAACAGAAGACCAAGAGGAGCGCCGCGAACAGTTCGAACTCCTGAAAATGTTGAACGCGTTCGACAGGTCTTTCTTCGCAGTCCGACTCGATCTGCCCGGAAACATGCTGCTGCACTTCGCCTTAGTGATCGTTCGGTAAGGCGAATTTTGCATATGGATCTCCGCTTTCACCCCTACAAATTGGGCATTGTGCAACAGTTACAGCCGGAGATTATGGCGCTATGCAGCTACATAGATTTATCCATATGCGATTTTTTCTTATGGGGACACCTCAAGGCTAGAGTATACGCGAACAAGCCCCGAACTCTGGACGAATTGAAGGGCGAAATTCGCGTGGAAGTCGCCCAAGTTCAGAGAGCGATGTTGGAGAGAGTCTACGCGAACTTCCAAGAACGCCTCCAGCACTGTATCAACGATTTCGGCCACCACATGCCTGATGTGATTTTCCACACTTGACTGTCTCAAATGATATTTCCTTGTGAACCTGATCCCATCAATAAATTTGTTTTTGAGTAAAAATTAACTATTTTATGATTTTTTTAAAACCGTCCATCCTGTCTGCCGCACCCTGTACATACATATAAGCAACGTCTAGATACTGGACCAAAATTATTCATACTTCTTTGTTATCAATAATACTATGCGAGCAGCAGCAATTTTCATGATTAGGGTTAAAACATGGATAAAAGTTTTAACTAAAACCGGAAATTTACTAAACCTCATCTAAACAGGGAGGCCTCAACTCGAAGCATCCATATCAGAAATTGCCGCCTTCCAGTAGTGCGTGTGTGCGTATGAATATGTTACTGGCAATGACGATAATTAGGCATTAACGTTAATGGCCGAACACTGCTGACACGGATGAAAAACATTGACAATAAAAAAAAACAAAAACAAAACCAGCATGAAACAAATACATAATTTCAAAATCTGAAACTTAGAGTTCACGTCAAAATCTTGGCTACTTCAGTATCAGCAACACGGTTGTTATATTACTCAAAGTTAAAAAATGATTTATTGTGATCGCGTTTAGTTTCTATCATTAATCTTTCCCATAAATCGATTGCACATTTCCGCAGAATTTTAAATACCGGTTTGGATATCAAAATTGACATGAAATTATCAACAGAACCACATATCGTAACTTAAACTTCCACTATACAGGGTGTTTTCAAAGTTGAATCATTCATTTTAACAGCTTGTAGAAGTCGTCAAAAGAAATTGATATACCAAAAATCACCTATACAAAAGTTACATAATAAGAGAAATAAAATCATTGTGTCCACGAAGTTCTCCCAGAGTATTTGCTGCTAATCATACACCAACTCTTTCAAATAACCCCAGAGAAGAAAATCGCAAGGCGTTAAATCCGGGGAGCGAGCAAGAAATGGGTCCATTGCACCCTATCCGTCTATTCGGGAACTCATTATTTAGATGTTCATGAACCTGTGCCCCATAATGTAGGAACTACATATTCTGTCTCACATTTAGAGGAACATCTTCTAATAGTTGTGGCAGATTGTGTCGAAGAAAATCTAGACAAATTTCATTGGTCAGTCGAGGTGGACAAAGGTAGGGTCCAATAAGCATGCCATTTAACAAGCCAGCTCAAACATTTAATGCAAATCTATGTAGAAAATGAGTTCTTTTTACAGCATGCGGATTTTATACTGCCTAAATATGATGATGTGGAAATTGTACACTCCATTTCGTGAAAATGTGGCATCGTCTGTACACAAAATTAATTTCGTAAAATATTCATTTCTGCTGAACTGTTCTAAAAGCAACTGGAAAAATGCCTCCTCTAGGATGATCTTTAGGTTGTAACACTTGTGCCCGCTGATAATGATAAAGATAATACTGTTCTTGTCGTATTGTCTTCCACACTTTTGAAAGACTGTTACGATCGAACCAAAGACTCGTACTGAAAACCATACCATAACATAAAAAGTTTGCCAAACTTAGATAAACGATAAGAGTAGTAAAGGGAAAATGCTAAGAAAAAATCCGTGTAATATTCTTATGTTTTAAAATGTTTAATCTCTTACTATTCCTTTTGTTATGCAACTTCTATATAGGTGATTTTTGGTATATCAACTAATTTTGACGAGTCCTACAAGCAGTTAAAATATACTAAGTGACATATAAATCCGAACACCCAGTTTAAATGGTTTTATTTTAATAAAAGTTGGTGAATGTATTTATCTTACTGTAAATAACATTTAAGCTGGACTTTCTTTTCGGGCAATTGCAGTTAGAGTGCAAAGAAGTGTAGACACTGTGGTTAGGTGTTGTCAGGCATGGCTTCGAGAAGGCCGTACGCAAAGAGCAAGGGGCACTGGACGCCGCCGTAGAACAACAGACCGTGAAGATCGCCGCCTAAGACTATTGGCCTTAAGGGACCGTTTCTCCACTACCAGGTCCATTGCAAATGAATGGTTTGCAGAACACGGAAGACCTATTGGCATGCGAAGTGTTTACCGACGAATGAGAAGTTTTGGCTTGTTTTCATACCGGCCACACTGGGTCCTCCCTTTAACTCGAGAACACCGACGTAATCGCCTTGAGTGGTGCAGACAACGGTCACTCTGGGATCAGGAATGGAACAGTATTGTCTTTAGTGACGAGTCTCGATTTTGTTTAGGCATTCACGATGGTCGTGCCAGGGTTAGAAGGCGACGTGGTGAAAGGAGGAATCCACAGTTTTTTGTTGAAAGACATGTTTCTTCTCACTGTTGGAGTTATGGTTTGGGGTGCTATAGCTTATGGTTCCAGGTCACCTTTAATCTTCATCAGAGGTAACATGAACGCGCAACGTTATATCCACGAAGTTCTAGAACCCCATCTTTTACCCTGTCTTGACACCCTGGCAGATCCAACTTTCCAACAAGATAATGTCCCACCACATGTTGCAAGAGTCACAATAGACTTCTTTCACCATAATGATGTCACATTGTTACCATGGCCACCAAGATCTCCCGACTTATCCCCAATTGAGCACGTGTGGGATATGATTGCTCAATTTGCAACGTCCTCCTCAGACTCTAGAAGCACTTCGAGAGGAGTTGGTGGTTGCCTGGAATGAGATACCACAGGAGGACATTGACCACCTGATCAGAAGCATGCCTAGGCGCGTTGGAGAATGCGTAGCACATCAGGGTGCATCCACACATTATTAAAGGTCAAAGGGCTTTAAAGCAGTGCAATCATTTTGAAATTTTTATCATTTACTTATTATGCTTCATTAAGTATAAATAACTGAACTTTGAAAACACCCTGTATTATGACTGACTTCGTCTTGAAGAACTTTAACGCTACTTCCGGGCTAATGATGGTAACAGCGCGCTTTATTATGTTTTCTACAACATTGGCTGGGCTTTCAGGTCTTCCGCCGTCATTAACGTCAATGCCTGGATTATTTTTCAGAAATACGGCTAAATGCTGTTGATTCAACTTTGGATTTATTTTTTCAATCCACGAGGGTCTGTGGGTTTCTTTCTGACTAAATTGGACGATAATAATGTAGATAGCGCATGCTACTTCATGAAGACAGGGCCACATGCCATAGATTCGTGAAACAATGCAATTACTGCCTGAGATTTCTCGTATGCTCCCTCATTTTAATGATCAGAATTGATCTAAGCCTGTAAAACAATTAATTGATTTATGAGAGATTTCCTGGCCTCTTGTTTCAGTAAGGAGAGTTGGTCCTCTAAATCATGTGATTTAATACCGCTTTCTCTCACAGATATTCATGCATTAAAGGAAAAAAATCAATGCCACTTTAACAGAAAAAATTGTCAAGTAAAGTCGATGAAGGAATGCGGTCATTGACATTGGTCATATGTATTCAATAAAAGTAATAATCTAAGCAAGAAAAGCCGCGTATTTTTATTTGATTCAAAACTTGCGTTAGTTTTGGGGCATCATTTAGTTCGACATTTTAGAGATGGCTTAACTTCTTGCGAAACATGCGACTAACCTGTAGTCCATTTCTCGAAGAATGAAATTTACGGCCCGGCGAGGCTGCATGCATATATCCCCATATATCTCCCACTCAACCTTCCTGGTTTAGCATTGTTCTTGTATATGGGCTCGATCGATTCTGCCCAATAACAGTTATGCTCTTTATTTTTTGAAATATATAACGTGCTGATCACGCACTGAACACATGCTGGATATTGGTTTGGTTTAATATCTTTCTTGGATAAATTGACTTTAGATCTTAATAAGCTGTATGAGATATATGCATGGGAGCCCACAGGACTGTGCCTCCCTGAGAATCTGGGCGAACCACAAAATTTGCATATTTAGCATGATTTTGGTACAATTTTGTTTTTTTTATTTGCCTCTCGCCCGTGGGGAAATTCGCTACCCCCGCTCGTCAAAAAGTTTTTGGAGCAGGTACGCTTTCACAAAATATTGTTTCTTGCCCCCTGCGAAAAATTCCTGCGGGCGCCCAGGGATATATGTTTATGGCTTTACGTTTATATGTTTTATTTTTTATTGGTAAAAGTAAAAGTGAATATACTTATTTGATAGAATGTTGAATGACCCCTTGTTTCCAGATTACAGCAACCCCAGCGCGTTTCTTGATCAATTATCCTCCTTTGCATCCAACTTTCCAGGCGCATTTGGGGGACCAGGTGGAATAGGAGGCGGTCAAGGCAAATCATTCGCCACGTCGGGAAGTTTCGCCAGTGGAGGCGGCCAAGGTAGTGGCAGCGGAACGGGATATGGTACAGGTAGTGAAGGAGGTGTAGGTGGACATCAAGGTCATCAAGCTGGATACAATGGGTAAGGATCAATGAGGAAGTTTGTTAGAAAAATTCAGATTGCCTGTGTACTTTTCCCACACAACGGTTCATAAAGGATTACGTTCGGTAGAAGTTAGTTTTTCTGAGCTAGCTACAAACATGTATAATAAAAAACTTAAATGGATCAAGTAAGCCAAACCAGCGATATACAATTAGTATACATTCCATATTCGTCACTCATTTGGTAACGCTAACACTAGTTTCTTCCCTGCCTAAGTATCGACCATCTCCAGAAAACTGGAAATTTGATCATGTCTAATCTATCCCAAAGAGGATCTAAGACCGACCCTCACAACTACAGGCTCACAGCTCTGCTTTATGTTATAAGTGAGGTGATGGAGAGGTGAATAAATTGCGAGCTTCTGGACTCCCTCGAACATGACGGATTGATTATTTAGCGACAGGCAGTATGGTCTCCGGCACCAGCGATCCACAGGGAACCTCCTAGCTTATTTCACGCAATTGTGGAGTAAACATATTCAGTCTTATGGTGAGGCTCATGTCGTTGCTCTTGATATCAAGAAAGCGTTTGATCAGCTGATGCTGATGTCAGCTGGGAAAAATAAGACTTTCAGCGACTTCCTCTCTAACGAGAGACCTGAATGTTATCGCTGCTTGGGGACGCAACAATCTTGTACAGCTTAATGCTTCCAAAACACAGTACTGTACCTTGACGAACAAAAGTTTAGATGGATGGCCGAGTTATGCCAAAGAGCCGTTCATTTCGGCTGATCTGAGTCCAGATAACTGAGGACTTGATCTGGCTCGGACACATCTCGTCAATAGCGGCAGCTGCTGGAAAAAAGCTAGCCTATTTGCTTAAGGCTAAGAAGTCCATCAGACAGACCCGCCCGACTTCGGCCTCCCAACTATGTCGAACTCCGTACATCCAGAACTGGCTGATACCATCGCTCCTTTAACCCGAGGGTGTCGAGACTGTGGAGCAATCAACAAGATGATGCCTTTCCCAGTTCTGCTAACTTTAGGCAGTTCAGAAATCGGATTAACAAAACTCTTTGGATTCCTCATAGCAGCCGCGGTGTCCTGACATTTAGGTTTCTGCCTGTAAGGATGCTTTGGTATAAAAAAAGGTTTGTGCAGTTGATGCTCACTTGTAGTAGTGCAAAAGTTGTCATTTTACCGATTTTTTCATATTATATAGGTTTTTATGTAACAATCCTGCGGATCTAATTGCCAGCAGATCGCGTCATGTAAAGGTGGTTGGAATCTTTCTCTTTCGTATTGAGCTCGCTATTGACAGTGTGACATAATACCTTTATTTGATGTGGCTATCAAAGAATGAAAGAACGCGTGTATGTAAGGATAATGCTGTGTCTAGGTTCAGCGAGCTTTTAAGTGAAGCGTCAAACAAAATGTGACGTGAATCGGAGTACAGCAGCCTCCAACATGTTACTTCATACACAACCAGTGACGGGGGTGTTCCTTAATGATATGCGAATAATTGAGGGTGTGAATCTACATGAAAACTTAATTTTAGTTTGCTTTGTAAACTATGGTCCACAAAATGTTTCCTGTCAAAAACTCGGGGTGTTGAAGTTTTAGGAAACAAAATGGAAATTAATTAATATTTTCAGAACCTCTTCAGATATTTCACTCATATTTAGTACGTAGTAGAAGTTAATAAAGTTGCATATTTTTCAATGCAAAAATCATTTTTAGCTTTAACAGTGGCGTGCGTATGGGTATTGACTTCAATATTTTTTAAGAAAAAAATAGTACGCCAATAGTTTTTTGCCAAATAAAAATTACTATTGTATTCTCCGTTCAATTTAAAACAAATGATCTCTCTTGAATTGTTTTCCTTCGATGCGCCATTTTTGAATAAAGAAATAAAAACCGTTCTATTGTCTATTGTCAAAATTATTATTAATTTAATTGGAAAAATTAAACACATTAGGGGCAATGAACAACAACTGACAACATAAACATAACATTAAAACCAACGAAATGATTACAAAAGTTGTTGAAAATGGCCCCCTTCACTTAGTATGCATGCTTCCGTCCTCCTTCTCATTGAATTGCGCACTCGTTGAAATATCGCTGGAGTGTTTTTTATTCTATCACAAGCTGCAACTATTCTTTCTACTAATTCCTCGACAGTGTTAATGGGACTTGTGTCTTAAGATAGCTCCACAAAAAGAAATCTAAACTGTTGAGGTCTAGGGACCTTGGTTCTTGGGACCCACCGCGGCCAATCCAACGATTTGGATAAACAGTTTGTAAATATATAATTACGAACCGCTACACTGAAATGCGCTAGTGCACCATCATGCATGTACCACATATTGTTTCTTATTACTAACGCAACATCATCAAGCAGCAAAGGCAACTGTTGTTGAAGAAAATTGAGGTAAGTCTGTCCGTTAAGTAGTCCCGCAAAGAAGAATGGGCCAATAAAGTGGTTGCCAATAATTCCTGCCCATACGTTAACCGAAAATTGGTGTTGGAAATGGGTTTCGGTTACGGCATAGGGATTTTCTTCTGCCCACAAATGATTATTGTGGAAATTCTGAATGGCATTTCGAAAAAAATTAGCTTCGTCCGTGAACAGAATTATTGATTAGAATTGCGGATTTTGTGTAATTTTTTGAAGATACCCCTGATAAAAGGTCACACGCCTTGGAACATCAATGAGAAGTAATGCCTGTACTCTTAAAATATGGTAAGGATATAACAAAAAATCCACTAAAATTCTCCAAACAATTTGATGGCAAATATTTATGTGTCTAGAGATCTTTCTCGTACTCCTTTCAGGATGTTCTTCGACTTCGTGTAGCACTGCTTCCTCAACTTCAGGTGTTCTCACACTTAGAGGTCTACCAGTTTCAACAAGACGACGATGCATATTAGAAAAGGTTCCACTATCTGGCAAAGCACGATCGGGATATCTCTGGTGATAAATCCGTCTGACTTGCTCACCATTACCGTCGGCAAGGCCATATACGTAATGCATTTCCGCCATTTCTGCATTTGAATAATTCACCATTATTAACAAGATTTTAAAAACTAAATAATGAAAAAGATATCACAGCGATCAGATTTGAATAACAGATACTTGTCAGATGCCAAAAGCCAGTGACATATTCCAGAGCAACTAGATATTTATTGCTAAATTGCATTTTTCAATTTATTATTACATTGATTTTTAATTAATAGAACGATTTTTATTTTTTTAATCAAAAATGGCGCATCGAAGGAAAACAATTCAAGAGAGATCATTTGTTTTAAATTGAGCGGGAAATGCAAAAATAATTTTTATTTGGCGAAAAAATATTGACGTACCACTTTTTTCTTAAACAATATCGAAGTCAATACCTGTACGCACGCCACTGTTAAAGCTAAAAATTATTTTTGCATTGAACAATATGCAACTTTATTAACTTTCACTGCGTACTAAATATTATTGAAATATCTGAAGCGGTTCTGAAAATATTAATTAATTTCCATTTTTTTTCCTAAAAATTCAACACACCGAGTTTTTGTAAGGAAATATTTTTGGACCATAGTTTATAAAGCAAACTAACATTAATTTTTCATGTAGATTCACACCCTTAAATATTCGCATATCATTAAGGAACACCCTGTATATAGTTATACTATGTGATCATGTGTAATAAAGGAAAGGATGTTTTTATATGGTGCTTATGATTGTAACAAGTGAATAGTTCACTTCCTACAAGTGAAGATGCTCGTATTAGTCGGTGAAGTATTTATTTGCAATATGAATTAATACTTCTACCTGGTTGGATGAGATGTTACCATAAAAGAACCACGCTACTTGTACCAAGTGAATAGTTTACTAGATCGACAAAGTCGAAACGCTTTCAGAAATACAACTAATTCACTTGAAAATTGTTTATTATAGCAATTTCAGATAAAACCAATTTGCTTATGGCAAGTGGTCAGTACAGTAATTTCATACAGAGGTACACATTTTAGTTGACAAAATGAAAAATGTTATTTTTTGTTAATAAAATTCTTTCACTTCTTCACTCTTCTAAGCACCTGCGGAGTGGCCTAAAATCCACATCCCCTTTAATGGTTTTAATGTCACCTGTCATTCATGGAAATTGTCACTTTGATAGTCAACTAGCTAGGCAGCAGCGGTGGCCGCAGTAGTAGACTCTTCGGTCTCCTGATCAGTCGCCGTGCGCTGTGCGGGTTCGAGTCCCGTCCCAGGAGAAATTTTTCTCTTGGCTATGGATGTTGTGATTGTCCGTAGGTGGTAGACGGTCTCTGACTGTCGAACGTGGAGGTACCACCCGGCGGATCTCGTAGGCGGAGCCAGAATGTGTGCATGTTGCATGCACACGTGTTCCCTCGCCAGAGTCCGTGTGGCGTTCGCCCTTTCCCCTGTATCCCCCAATAGCCCCACGGTACCCAATGGGTGTTTAGGCCTTAGGCCTTCGTGGTAGTTGGAGTATAAAACAAAAAAAACTAGCCATAAAAATATAATTCACTCGGGTCATATGCTTACGTAGTATTTCAATGGCAAAACAATATCAAACTTCTTGATGCTGAAGGCAATCAGGTACACAAATACAAAATAGGTGAATAAGTGTACTCATCCGAGATTTGACCGTGTGGTTTTCCCTGAGACTTGTTATATACGAATGAGTAATGCAGCTATTTATATATCATGTTTTAAGCTAAATCGTGAGGAAATAAAATATACGTATATAGATTATGATTGAATGCTGGCCGGAAAAACTTGTTTGAAATATTTATTAAAGCATTACTCATAAAAGAAATGGTCTTAATTGGATAATGTCGGACATCATTTTTATGTCCAATAGTTACATACGATGCAGCGTTCGAGTAGTGAAATTCAGATTCAGAGCTTTTATAACATATGCCCCGATTTTTTTTAGAACAACGAAAAGTTAAATTACCGAAACGAAGTATATGCAGCTATCTCTATCCTAATAAGACTGATACCAAGCGCTGAGGGTCATGTCATGACTCCCCTGGGCGAATCGTATGACCGCTAATATTTATGACTTTCGAATCTCTTTGATGAATTTAAATATATACGGACTTTTTGCAAATATGTACTGTATACAAAAGGTAAAAAATCACCAGATTTATAATATAAATAAAAAGTGATACTGCGTTTTTCGGCTTGGTAGTACTACTTGTCCGTTAGACCATTATTGCAAATTGAACCTCATGTGTGTTGTGATTAAGGTAGTTCATTGCAAATTCAGGCATTTGGACAGTAATATAAGAGAAATCCTTTTCGCACGGGCCTTTAACGTTGTGCGCAAATTTGATAAAAATACTTTTTGACGGAGAAATTCAAAGAAAGCAGTTTCATTTGATTAAAAGGAGATGATAAGTAGTAAGCGTCATACTTATCTAACCGTACGAGTGTTCAAATCTCGCTCTCTTCATTTATCAGTTCATAAACATACCTATATACTAGTTCATGATTTTGATACTTTTGTTGACTGTTCCATCTACATCAATGTAATGTTACCAGCGGTTGTTTTCAAGAAATTTATGATTGATCTTGATTTTGTCTACAATCGGTCTGTGATTTCTGCAAACTGTTTATCTGATCAGTGGGTATATCTTACACCCTTGTTTCAGTAACTAGAGCTATAATGCATTTATTATCTTGTCGGTTAGCCTTGGTAGTATAAGACATCACATTTTATATTTCAGACCAATATTGTTCTCAAGATTCGGTGAAACAGAAGGTCGAGGTGCTCAAGTCTCGGCATCTGCAGAAGGACCACACGCCGCATTTAGTTCATCCTCCACCTCTGTGGATGGCAATGGGAAAGTGAAGTATTCAGTAAAGTCTGGGAAGTACTGAGAGCTGAGTTTATTTTAGTTATTTTACAGTGCCAGTTTGTGATAAATTATTGTTAGTATGCGCTATTTTTATAACAGTGATGCAGTGATGTATTTAGTAGTATGTAAATGTAGCATTATTAATAAAACCAACAATAAATCTGACTTGGTGATTAAAGTAATTCCATTCTAGAAACAGCTTAGCTTATGTGAATGACAAGTGGGAGATCAAAAAACATAACAAATATCTGTAAACGCACCAATGTTCAGAACTACTTGAAAATTATCTGAACGTCTTTTCAGCCTCCAACCACATTATAGCGCCGCTTTAACGTACCTTTAACCTATTTGAACGAGGCACCTGCACGCATACATTTAAATCAACTTTGATTTGTCTTGTGAGACAAGAAAATCGGCGCAGCACACTGACGGAACTAGAAAATATTTTCAGAGGGGTCTACATGAAAAAAGTGCTGGGAGGAGGAGCTCAGCAGTGCTATTTCGTATCTTGAAAAGTGACATTGTGTGGGTATTTTGACAATATATAGGTTTTTTGTGATATTATGTAGGTTTTTTACAAGATGTCAATTTAGATTTAGCTGTTGTTCACTCGATGTGCTCTCGTTCTGTAGCTGTACGTGTTGCCTAAACATCATGACGCTTCAGCTATCAAAGTTTGGCTCTAATGTGTTGAAAGCTGAGGATTTGTGTGCTAATAATCTGTGTTGATGATAATTCCATCGGTTTCTTTTCTCAAATACACTTACTTGAGATGTATGCAAAGCTAGAAATGAGTTGTGCATCTACCTTTACTTATTCATCCTGGAAATTACACATGCAAAGTTGCTGAATTTCAATAATGAGAGAGATAAGAAAAGAAAATCCCTGGTCGGTGAAATATATTACAACCAACAAGTGAGAAAATATTCCAAAGACAAGAACATTTATGAAACGTAAAAAAGTTATTACATTTTACATTATTTTTAATTCCCAGTCATTCAAATTGATAGATGTGAGAAACTACAGAAATGTTTTGTTTGTGATGTGTCATTTCTAACTTTTTGGTGATGTGGCCTAATCACAGACAACGCGGGCGCGATGGTGATTTCTCGTAATGCTTCTCAAAGCTTTTGAAAACACAAAAAAAAAACGGAGAAAATCGTAAGTTGCAACGTTGTACATAACCTCTGTTTACTTCATGGGCAGCATTCAATAATAATTTTGTCAAATGGCACATATCACTGATCCATACACACAATCATCCAGATGAGATCTTGCTAGTCTGCTACTCAGACTTCGAGTTTGGTGAAAGACATTTTAAAAAATACAAAACTAATTTATATAGTATAGAAAGAACAGAAATGCAACAAGAAGAATCTGATAGAGACAGTGATTAAGTTTAAGTAACTTCAACTTTTTTATGCCAAACAGAAATGGGCTTTAGTCATATGCATTTTATTTTTTAGTTTCCTGTGATATTTTTTTAATATGACTGCGTGATAAATGTTTGACAGTTATTTGTAATATTGGTATTGGTTTTTATAGTCAAATGTTTCTTTATTACAGTTTTATGTTATATTTTATCTAGCTATTTGGTTTTCGTTTTCCTTTTTTGACACAATCTGTACAATAAATGCTCCCCTGTTATATGAGTGCGCCAAATAGCATTAATTGTGTGGGCTTGTTGGACTGACTTGATCGTTTAATTTCTCTATTCTACACGTTCGTAACTAATTTATGACTGATGACGGCTTTGCGTAGAAATTCAACCAACTTGATGCCATCACTTTTTAACTGACCCTAACATATCTTGTTGATTCTGTTCGGAAAAAGGAGAATAAAAGTACGTATCACACGTGACATGCCATACCTGAATCACAAAATTGGGAAGATAAAATAATATACGTTAAAGCTAGATTGAAAAACGACAAAATTGTGGATTTTTTCATTTTGAAAAATCTTGCAGCAGTAATTTCAGAAGAGACAGCTGACATTTGTATTAGTAGTTTCTTCATTTCCTTCTGCTCATCTCTGAATAGTAGGATGTTTTGCTGGAGCTTGCTGCATATTCTTATTATCTTCCTCGAATCATTATATGCGGTGTCACAGTAATACATTATCGTCAATGGTCCAGCCTAAAACAATATATCTAAGAACTGATTCTGATATATCGAGGCAGATGCAAAGCAGAAAGTTAAATTCCAGACCACCACAAGCAATTCTCAAACATTTTTGATGAAACCATCATTAAAGGGAGCTTATTGGTGCCACTTTCGAAGCCCCAGAAACGGAAGATTGTGGGCGTACCGTCCAGTTCCAGAGATATTAGTCCACATTTATAAAAAAAAGTTTTACCTTTTGCTTTCAAAAAATAAAGCAATTCCTTCAAAGTATATGCATAAAAAGAAGTGAAGGAAAAGGTCTCGCTTCTGTAAACTAAAAGGTGTTAACGTTTAAGCATTTGCTTAAAAACTAAAGGATTTGCTTCTAAAAAAAGGAATCTAAGTTACAGCAAATTTTCTCATTTTATCATTAGTTGTCCCGGCATCTCAGAGCCTGCATCTTAAAATTTGTGCATTTTCGTTTAATAAAATCGATTTGTAAGGGCGTAAGACGTACACCTAGTCAGATTTCAAGACGTTGTTTAGATTTGAGGAGGAAAATGTGATGTGGTTGGCAAATTATACTAAGTGACATATAAATCCGAACACCCAGTTTAAATGATTTTATTTTAATAAAAGTTGGTGAATGTATTTATCTTACTGCAAATAACAAGTGTCTGCCTTATCAGTTGGACATTCCGGTTTTTATACTGCTTTTTTTTAATTCACTAAGGCTCTAAAAATGAATATTTCAGCCGCAGTAAAGAATCAACGTTGGCGGATTTTGGTTCTTGACATAATTTACGATCGGTTACGATGCCTAGAGTACGGAGACTTGTACGATTTCGTCAACTTAGTGAGTTTGATAGGGGCCGTATAGTGGGACTTCGGGAAGCTGGACTTTCTTTTCGGACAATTGCAGTTAGAGTGCAAAGAAGTGTAGACACTGTGGTTAGGTGTTGTCAGGCATGGCTTCGAGAAGGCCGTACGCAAAGAGCAAGGGGCACTGGACGCCGCCGTAGAACAACAGACCGTGAAGATCGCCGCCTAAGATTATTGGCCTTAAGGGACCGTTTCTCAACTACCAGGTCCATTGCAAATGAATGGTTTGCAGAACACGGAAGACCTATTGGCATGCGAAGTGTTTACCGACGAATGAGAAGTTTTGGCTTGTTTTCATACCGGCCACACTGGGTCCTCCCTTTAACCTGAGAACACCGACGTAATCGCCTTGAGTGGTGCAGACAACGGTCACTCTGGGATCAGGAATGGAACAGTATTGTCTTTAGTGACGAGTCTCGATTTTGTTTAGGCATGCACGATGGTCGTGCCAGGGTTGGAAGGCGACGTGGTGAAAGGAGGAATCCAGTTTTTTGTTGAAAGACATGTTCATCACACTGTTGGAGTTATGGTTTGGGGTGCTATAGCTTATGGATCCAGGTCACCTTTAATCTTCATGAGAGGTAACATGAACGCGCAGCGTTATATCCACGAAGTTCTAGAACCCCATCTTTTACCCTATCTTGATACCCTGGCAGATCCAACTTTCCAACAAGATAATGCCCGACCAATGTTGCAAGAGTCACAATAGACTTCTTTCAACATAATGATGTCACATTGTTACCATGGCCACCAAGATCTCCCGACTTATCCCCAATTGAGCACGTGTGGGATATGATGGGTAGGAGATTGTTCAATTTGCAACGTCCTCCTCAGACTCTAGAAGCACTTCGAGAGGAGTTGGTGGTTGCCTGGAATGAGATACCACAGGAGGACATTGACCACCTGATCAGAAGCATGCCTAGGCGCGTTGGAGAATGCGTAGCACATCAGGGTGCATCCACACATTACTAAATGTCAAAGGGCTTTAAAGCAGTGCAATCATTTTGAAATTTTTATCATTTACTTATTATGCTTCATTAAGTACTTATACAAAATTTTATTAAAATAAAACCATTTAAACTGGGTGTTCGGATTTATATGTCACTTAGTATATTTACTTGAACTAAAAATAAACTTACTCGTTTGAACTGGAAAAAAACGTTTAATTTTTTTTTGTTATAAATGCATAGTCTATTTACAAGTTTTGGTAAATATTATCTCCAACAACAACATACTCTTGCGGGGCTTTTTCGTTTGATGCCTCGTTTAAATTTTTTAGCTTGGCAGAGTAATATTGTTGTTAGAGACGAGCAACTTTCAGTTGTTCAACTAAAACTAATCGTTGAAGCTGGGTTGTCGTTAACTGCCTCATCTCGTCAGACTCTTGTTTGCCCGAAGCAAAGGTAGGCTTCGGAGGAATTTTTTTTTGCAGCAACGTCTTCAACCGATGTGTAGGATCGCTTTTTGTTAGTTACTACTTGAGGCATAATCATGTGATGAGCGTCGTTTTCCACCATAATGTCATCCGATGAAGTAGGTAAAGAAGGTTGACTTGCCACGCTAATTGCAAGAGCCCCTAATAAAAATATACATGCATGATAAGTACCTACAAGGTAATAGTAAAGACCTGAATCTATTTCTCACCTGGTACCCAGTACTTAGTACAGGATTTATGTCCGCATCCATAGCCTTTAACATAACTTTCTCCCAGGACAAAAGACGAATGGGCTATTATTATTATCCCTGTTTTATTTTTGTCAGTTTTATTTTTCAGTCGCGTTTTCATATTGTTCACTTTTTTCATAAAAGCTTTAATATCCATCTCCTTGCCAAATAAAGTAACGTATTCCTTAACGATATCAGTTAATGCAGCAGTTTTCTTCTATTTCATCGCTGGAACTTGAGATTTATCGGTAATCTCCGGAAATGCTTGGACTTTTTCAGCGATAAACATCATCTCGTGAGGGGCATCTCGGTAACTTCCTGTTCACTATCGGTGTCAGACATTTTAAATATTTTATTCACTTTAAAATTGCTGCACAATTACATCAATTCACGTGCCAACTGCTTTTAATTATGAGACAAATAAGATCAACCCTATCAGTTACAGACCACATACGCGTTGATTGCACGCTGCAAGTCATATCTTGTCGAAATCGCTAATCTCCGTACCTTTTACTTTATTTTCCCGAAGCATTTGCTTGCAAGGAAGAGGTAGAGATTATGAATACGAATTAGAGCAAAACCTTTTACTTCTACCTTTTGCTTGTACCTTTTACTTCAAAGTAAATGCTTCATTTTTATAAATACGGGCTATTGCGATTGTAAAATATGGATGTTCCTGTGATTTTGTATAATTGACACAGCAAAGCGGAATTTTTAACGTCAATAAACAATTGTTTTCTTTATTTTTTACTCAGAATTGATATGTAAAGTGAGTTAGCAAGCTGAGATACTAAATGATAAAATTGATGCATGAATAAAAATTCTATCGTAAAAACAACAGTGTAAAATTTCAAGATGGCAACTGGGCGTAAGTAACAACTTCCTGAAGACTGGATACACGATGAAGGTCTATGAAATTGTATCGCGGTACGTGACGGTATGTTACGCGACAGAAAATTTTCAATTTTTTAAATGTTAATTACACCGCTCCGATCAACATTTCAGCTAGCAAGTTTGCATTTTAGCATCAAAATACGTGAAATTTGACTGGTT